TTACATAGCTTTGAATTATGATTCAGTCCACAAAATAATCTTGAAAACATAATCCCTCAATTTATTTTACATATTCATTTTCCGATTGTTGCCCCCTCTCTGAAACTCATTTCATAAAACCAAAAAAAAAACTTTCCTACAACTTACAATACTTAAACACGTATATCTAAAGAAAATTTCATGCATAGAAATAGTTATTTAAAACTAATACCTATCTTTTTATAATTTAATTAAAAAATGATTTTAAAAAATCCAGAAGACAAGGGAACTCCTGGATCAAGTATTGGGAGGAATTTGACTTCGCGAAGCACTTTTTGATAGTATTTTTTGTATGGGCATTTGCGTTACATGGAGAGGAAATCCACGAAAGCCTCGAAGGGACTCTAACCCATGATCCATTCACCATTTTTGATATTTTTCATCTGCACTAAGCAGTCGCCTGTCTGCACTAAATTCTTCGAAAATTATTTTAATCCAAAATCAAGCAGTTTATATAAAAGTCTTCAATTCAAAAATTTAGAAAAACATTGTTGAAACTGGTAGGATATTGATTAATTTTAAGATGCTTAAAAAGTGATTTAGTCAGGCTAACCGTGGGAGGTTTCCGTGGTTTTCCTCTCTAAGTAACACAAATGCGGATTAGTTCCATCAAAAAGTCCTCCACGAAGACTTAATTTCTCCCAATACTTGATCCAGGAGTTCCCTTGTCTTCTGGATTGGGTTCAAAATCACAAGGCTACGGAGTTGAACATTAGTAGTCGTAAACCCAAAAAATTGGGTCTGCTGTTCTACGACGGCTATAATATGGTAATCATAGACGTATGGTACCTTACCTTATAAATTTCTATGGTTCCTATAAGTTACCATAGATTACCATGGGTGTGTCGTTGGCAAATTTTTTTGAATTACCCCCCCCCCAACTCAAGAATTTGAGTGCTAATAACTCGAATTTCTCACAGTAGAATGATTATTTTGAGATAGTACATTTTTGTGTTTGTTTTTTAAACTTAAATTATCTTCCGCATTAATTAATTAGCATATTTAAAATATCTCTTTCAAAACATTAACATTTGAACTCAGAGCGTGAAATATGATGATTAAATCAAAGTTACTAAAAGGATTCGTTTTTATTTTAATTTTATTCGTATTAAGTTTTTAACGTGTGATTTTTTAGTAGTGTTTCAACTTAACAAATATTCAATTAACAAAATATTAGTAAAATCATAGATTAGGTTACAAGACTACCCCAGCTTTAATTAGATAAAATCAGCTTTAATTATATAGATTTTAGATTTTAAGTAAAGAATTTGAAAAAAAGAAAAACATAGATTAATATCCAGATCTTTTCTTTTGATTTTTACCATGATATTAAAAAAAAAAAATCAAGTTTAGAAGCTTGAAATTAGAGCTTAAGAACACCATTGCTTGACGAATCGCTACATTGCACTTTTTAAAATGTCATCTTACAGAAATAAATATTGTACTAGAAATTTACATTTTCGTAGCATTAACACTGTTTTTCGAAACTCAGTAGCTACAAAAAATAAAAAAGCCATAATTTAAATGCCCTACAATTGAAGCACTTTATATATGAAGCACTTTATATTTATATACATTATATTAAAACATTATTATAAATCTTGCCGTGAAGAATTATCTGGGCCTTAGAGCGGACTTATCCAACTTTTTTAAAAAACGCCAATTTGGCAGCATTTTCCCACCTAGATAAAAATTATCAAAATCACTGCCTTATTCTCAGTTTTTTCACATTTGTTAAGCCCAGGTGATGCAACATTGGAGTAAGTTTTTAAATATTAATAAAAAATTAGACCTCAAACGCTTTTCATTTTCGCAAAACTGTGGCTTTTCTCTATATGGACGTTTTGCGCCATTTTTTACAAACAGCGCTGGCTTTAGATAGGCTAAACTTGACCTAACAGTCATAAATAACAGTAACAAACTCACAACAGTAATAAAAATAGCATGTTATTCATAAAAAAGCATCATTTCATATTACGAGGGAGCCTTCGAAAAATAGCCTTATCGTATGAACTATCACGTGACAATGCGATTCCTAATTAAAGTAAAGATCCAATTTCCATCTTTTCAAAAAATCGTTTCAATTAAAAACTATTTCTGTATTTAATTACACAGGCACAGGTCTCTATGTTTAAAACCTTATTAAATAGAAGTTGAGTCAGTAACCATAAATCAGTAAATTGATTTTGTTTCTGGTATACTTTAGACTTTTTTCCAGCAAATTTCATAGTTTAATTTTGGCAAGTTAAAGAACTTGACAGTTAAAGAAGACAGTTAAAGAACTTGAAAGCTGTGCAAAATTTTATTCCCTGCTACTTTAAGGTAAATTATAAGGTCATGCCAAATGTAAAATACGCGAAAAAAAAGGCAAGAAAAAAACAACAAAAAAAAAAAATTAGAAGCATAAACAAATGGACCACTCTGAGAACTAATGATCGTATTTTCTATTACTTTTATCATTGAACTAGTGATCGTATTTTCACGTTCTAGTACTCAATCTTAATGGCTCAAGAGTGTGACCTCAAATAAACTACTTAATTAGTGCAGACGATATTTTAAGTTTCAAAATCAGACATAAAAACGTACTTTCTGTGAATAAATATGAAATTTTTTCGACGGATTTGGATGTCAGACCCCCAAAATATAGGTGGAAGCAGCAATCTGTGAAATGAGGTCCCAATAGTATGGTCAGGAGAGCGCTCTAAAGTTTAAACTCCTCAATGTTAATTTTACTTTTCGCGTATTTCACTATATCTCAAGAACTTTTTAGGCAAATTGAAAAAAATTTACGCAAAGTCATAATTTTTTTTTCTATAAATAATTTCATGCAATAGATAACTTTCACTAAATATTTATTATTTTTTATTATTTTATTTAAGAATGGTCGAAAAAGTTTTGAAGTAGAAGAATTATAAGAATGAATGTCAAATTTAATTTTTCTTTGCATCATTTTAAAGAATGTAATTTTTCACGGCAAAATACAAAATTTGAGCTAAATCGATCGAATAGTTTTTGAGAAATCGAATTTTAAGTATCTGACTTTTTTGAAATTCAATTTCTCAAAAACTACCAGACCGATTTTGTTCAAATTTTGTATTTTGCCACGCAAAATTATTTTCTTCAATATGATGCAAAAAATTTTATACCTTATAACAAAAATTTTTCGAGACCATTCTAAAATAACATTATGAAAAATAATAAATATTTACCTTAAGTTATTTTTTGCATGGAATTATCTTCAGATAAACAAATTTTATAATTTTGTGTAAATATTTTTCAATTCACTTAAAAAGTAAAATCACTTCAAAGCAAATCACGCAAAAATAAAATTAACATTAAGGGATCGAAACTTTGAAGCGCTCTCCTGACCATACAATTGGAACCATATTTCACAGATTACGGCTACCCCCTATATTTTGAGGATCAGAAATCCGAATCCATCAAAACAATTGTATGTTTATTCATCGAAAGTACGTTTCTGTGTCAGATTTCGTAACTTAAAATATCGTCTGCACTTATTAGTTAACATTTTTGAGATCACCCCTTCGAGCCATTAACATTGAGTTCTAGAACGTGGAGATTCGATCATTAGATCAAAAGTTATTCAGGGTGAACCGATTTTTTTTTTCGCACTGCACACCACTCATGTGTTGATTTTTTTTGGTACTCATTAGTATTCATTCACAGAAATATAAACCTGCGTGGTTTTATTTTGGCACAAACAGATTTTGTAGGTCAAAGTCTAAGATAGTAGCTCTATCTCGAAGTTTTTTTTTTAATGATCTTTGACCTTCAATGAGCAAACTTATTTTGTTTAACAGAAATAAAAAGTTTATGTCGTAATTGTTAGAAAATTTCTTTAGTATTTTTGTCGAAAAATTTTCTGACGAATGGAAAAGGTATTCATTATGGATATAAAGCAAAAGCTTCTTATATAAGCACAAAATCGAAAACGATACTTATTTAAATATCAGTCATCGATAGAGAATTTTTTTTTATCTTAAGTGCCTATTATCATAAGTAAATAAAACGGTTTTAAGACATTTGCCAGCATGGCATACTGCGTTCCTTTTTTATGAATTTTAGATTTTACATTTTAAGGAAAGCAAATTTTAATATGCTCCTGATTTTAAAAGTGCATCTATGTATTCAATGTATGATAATTGTTTATTTGTTTCAAATAAGCTTGTTAAATTTTTATGTAAAAAAATTAATTATTTATTTTATATATGCTTATTGTTTATTTGTTTTTACTATAATTTATTTTATCTGAATATTTGGAATCGCATTTTAGGAGCGTAAACTATAAATATGTATGATGTATGCACAACTATAAATTATTTATGTGCTAAATATAATGTTTCTCACTTATTTGACCTAAATTAATACAAAATAATGGAAAAAAATAGTTAAAATATGCAAAATAAAAATTTTATATCAAAGGGGTAAAGAATATTGAAAGAAAGGGTAAGGAAAGGTTAATGCACTTTCTTTTGCACTATACGCCAATAGCCATCCAAGTATTAAAAAATAAATAAATAAAATAAAATTAAAAAATAAAGACAAGAGAATATTATCAAATTGTTTACTTTTTAAAAAAATCAAAAATGCATATATATATTTTTTTTAATTTTCAGCCAAATGATTCAAATGATTTTTTTTTATCTAACTTTATAGTTAGGAATGAAATTTGAAAGTAAAAACAATGAAACTTAAAAAAAAATCCTGCATAATTGCTGAAATATATAGCCAACCTGCTTATTATGACAATTTAAAGAAGTTACAAATTTTAAAACATACATTAGAAGTAAATTCGTATTTAAATATGACACTGTATAATATTAAAAAAACTGAACGAAAATATATGAAACATTAATTTATTAACAATAAAATTTTCACACTCGAATTCTACATTTTAAAAAAGAAACTCTAAGCATTACCTCGAAAAAAAATCTACTCACTTTGATTGGATGATGCGGAACAAGAAATTGCGTCATCCATTGATGAAGAGTGTCATTGGTCGTTAAGAGAGAAACACAATCAAATACCATGTGGATCAACATGTTTTCATTTTTTTAAAATTCCGGGGAGAAAGCAAGCATATAAAGGATATTATTCTGATACGGGTATCATTTTTGATTGGAAGTTAAATTGACGTATCAAAATTATTTAGCATGATTGCAAAAGTTAGGTTACACATTCAGATTAAATAACGCACATGATATTAAATTTTTAAAAATATTTTTTATAAAGAATTTATAAGTTATGGAACTGAACCATTATTTTCCTTTCTCAGTTTTAGTAATTTTAAAAAATTTTATTCATGTGACTAGTGATTTGATTGTTTATTAGTCTTGAGAGTTTAAGAAAATAATGGAGCCTCGTTTAAAATAATTTATATCTGTAAATAGTATAAAATTTGAATAAACGTATTATTTCATTTTACTATTTAACTTATTTACTTATTTTAAAAGAGATATCCACCTATTCTTAAAGGATTATTTAAGAGAATTTAGTGTTTCTGTTTCTATTAGTTTATTAAATTAATAGTGATGAATCAGTTTTTTTTAATATTTATTTAAATTACTTATTTATACAATAAGCAAAAACAAAAAACAAAAAAAAAATCAAAAGCCATCAACCCGAATATTTTGATGTTAATGATTCGATTTTCCCAAACTGAGTGCCAATCTCAATGGTTCTTAGAGGTGATTTCATTGTTGATTGGTTAGTACTAACTACTAATTAAGTCAACGGAATCAGACACAAAGAAGTATTTTCTTCGAATAAATATACCCTTACTTAGACGAATTTTATTTCATTTTATAACCACCGTTGAATAGTCGACCCAATTCTGATTTTACGACTATCAATGTCCACTCCGCAGTCTTGTAATTTTGAACCCAACCGAAAAGATATGGGAACTCCTGGATCAAGCATTGGGACAAACTAGGTTTTGTGGTGGACTGTTTAATGGAACTAACCCGCATTTGAGTTACATGGTGAGGAAAACCATGAAAATCTCTCACTTTTATGCCAACGGCATGACTAGAGGATTCTAACCCTTGATCCGTCTGCCACTGAGGAAATTTTATGTTAGCATCGTGGTGAGTGCGAGCCAGGAGCAGAATTCGTATTAACCAGCCATCGATGGGGTTTGAACCTGTTTCACCTCATCAAGAGGCGAATGCTCTATCTCCTGAGCTACAGCAGCATTCCTCGGCTGATTTAGGTTTTTTGATTATCAATATATGGGGATAGATGTTATCTCGAAAATATGGTCATATTTAGGCAGGAAGTGTTTGCCTTATCTCAGGGACTTTTTAACGAACCAAAAATATTCACTATATTGAATTTGAAAATTAAGTTTTTTTTTTAAATGTATAATGAAAATATAAAAATATTTTTGTGATATCATAATTCAGGATTAAAATAATGTAAATAAACTTTTCTTTGAAAGATAATTCAAATTATTATATGATTAGACAGAAGAATTGTTTAGTATAAAATATTCTTGTGAAGAATCTGCTACTTTAAATTCATTATGCATGACTGAAAAAATTTTGCAAATGTTTATTTTAAGGATTAGTCGACCGGCCTGTGTAGAGGGCAGGGAACTGTGCTTGCATCAGAAAGGTTCTGGGTTCAAATCCCGGGCAAGGCATGATGTTCTTTCCTTCACTGTACTATCTGTCCTTACTGTGGGAGCAATATTGGCCCACTAATATGGTGCCCCTGAAAGAGAGGTCAACAAAATCACCCTGTAAGTGCCTGAATTGACAGATGTTAACACAGGCGGTCATTGAAAAAGAAGATTTTAAGGATTATAATAAATACTTATTAAAATACTGAGTAGAGTAATTAGCTTTTATTATAAGATTTTCAGTACAATTAAATTTTTCTTTAATGAAACTGCTGCTTAGAGTGTTCGGCTCTTTTAATGTGATGATAATAAAGTGAATTCAAAATCTAAGCTATCGCTTACTAAGAACAGTTTTTTCTTTAGTTTTTAATGGGGAAAACATAATTCTTAAATGGCATACAAAGTGTATAAATATAAAAGCATACTATGAAAAATTTATAATATTTAAAAAAAAAACATTTTAGAGGATATTTTCTCATAATAATTGTTTTTTTTCCCTTTTTTTTCTAATGGCCGGTTCTGAACTTTTACGTTCTTCACATGGGGAGATACCGGAAGTGTTCCTCATTTAACGTTACTCAGTGGGCACCTGTGAACCTAAGTCCCGGAGGTGAGCAACATTACCCACGCGACACTGCCACAGATACCCGTTCATAGTGTGGGTCACATTCGCCAATCACGCACAACAGAGGACTACACATAGAGAGAAACATCCATGTCCAGAGCGGGATTCGAGCCCGCAGCCATCAGCTTCGCAGTCAGGCACGCTAACTGCTCGGCCACCTGGCCGGCTCTCATATTAATTCTAACGATATCAATTTTACTGCGAACTTCAGGTACAACATTAGCGCTGAGTACTGTATACAATTGAAAAAAATATAGACAACTTCTACTAAAAATAATAATTTTTATTAAGAGTTTTTTTTGTTTTTGTTTGAATACTGGAGTTTAAAATTAAGATAATTTTCATAGTTCACCACAAACTCCAGAACCAATAGACAGATTTAAATGAAGTTTGTAAAGGTGAAGATCGGTTGCTATAATACAAAACGATAGAGCTAATAATAAAATTGTCATAGTCAATTGATTGGCGATTATCAATGTGATTTTAGAGCTGGCTGATCGACTGCTGATAAAAAAATTTTGTATCAGAAATATTTTAGAAAAATTTTATAAGCATCCATTATTAATAGATTTCAAACAGGCGTATGACAACATAAATCAAGAACAACTTTTTAAATTGTTAGCGGAACTCCCTAGTAAATTAATTTGACAGACCAAGAAGACACTTACAAACACCAATGAAAAAGTCAAGAAACAAGGAGAAGTATCAGAAGAATTTAAAGTTAAATGTGGATTATGAAAAGATAATGTCCTTTTGAACACTACTTTTTGATTTTTACCTCGAAAAAGCTATCAAAGAAATCTATAATAACAGAGGGAGAACTATTATGATCAGGGATCGATCAAGACAAATTCTGGCCCAAGGCCCACCAAATTTTTCGGGCCCCTTACAAGATATTTTAAAATTAAATTACTGAAGAGTAGTTCTAACAATGAAAAAGAATCTATTAAGCTGCATGATTCAAGAGAAACGTTCTAAGAAATTTTGAAAGCAGAGAATTGAAGATTATTTTTCTGAGATAAAGTTTACGTATCTATAAATTAAAGCAAAATATATAACAACAAAACAATGTTATATCAAAATAAAAATGGTTTGGCGGCCACAAACAATTGAAATCAGTGATTTTTGATGAAAGTCACTGATTTTTATTTAATACTGTTTGTTGTAACATTGTTTTTTATTTAATACTTAAACCAATACAAAGCTAGCCCACCTTTCATTAGACTTTTTACTATTTTTTGAGGCTCCTCAGAAATTGTGGGCCATAGGCCCATTCCTATTAGGCCTAGGTAATAATCAGGCCCTGATTATGATTCGTTCTTTATATATCTTTTCTTATCTATATATATATGTTCTTTTTATATTGCTTTTGCAGACGATATAATCTTAAGAACCAGAACTGAAGAAACACTAATTGAAACGCATAATAAACTTGAAAAGGCAGTGAGAGAAATATGACTGGAAATTAACAAAAGACCAAATATAGTTCGTTCACCAGGAGTTGGCACTTGGCTCCACCTCCTTAGGCGCAGAGTTCATTTTAGCGAGAGAATAAGAAGAGAAACATTTCCGCACTTCAGAATGAGGCAACCCTTAAGGCGCGCCAAACGCAAACAGTGAATTCTTTTTCAGTCACTTCGTTTTATCATCTGCTATTATACCATTCGTTCTGCAGCTAATTAAATACATTTTAAATTTAAAAACTGCTGTTTTCCCAGCAAAATGTCTCCAAAATGTCCATTGACTTAAAAGAGAGAAGTATCATCAAATTTATGAAATATTTAATGTTAAACAAGCACACATAAAGATTGCGAAATAAATATTTGTGTCATACGATCGCCAAATCGCAACATTGTTCAGGATTGTTCATATCCTTCTCCCAAAATAAGCGAAATAGTATTATCGGATACCACGTGATGAAGGCGGAGCCAAGTGCCAACTCCTGGTGAATGAACTATACATAGATATGGATGGTGGGGAGGAACTTCATCGGCACTAATGATCCATGATGGACTAGAGTTTTAATGAGTCTGTGAATTTAAATACCTGAGATCCTCTGAGTGTCCCAGGTTTACTCAATAAGATTGAATCTTGGAGATTCTGCTGGTTACGACGAAAATTTTCACTTTCCAGAAAATCGATGACAAGATGAGCTCTAAGTTGCCATAAGCTCCATGAACGCTCGATTTGATATTAGCTTGAAATAAAGAAGAATTTCAAGTTAATATTTACTTGGAAGAACAGAGTTCACTTCTGTCCTGAATTTACTTGGTAGTTCAAAACCAAATTCGGAGAGCTATTAAATCACAGATTTTACTGAGTGGAATAAGTAAACATTATGCATAAATCACGATGTAAGTCCTGTATATCAATTGAAAAATATTAGAAGGTAACTAAACCTATTTGTTTGGTTCGATTATGTAACCCTTCCTGTTTCATACTAAGGCCATCCGCAGCAATTTTGTTTGGTTCGATTTGATAACTCCTATTTCGCACCAAGGTCATCCGCAGAAATTTTGTTTGGTTTGATTCTGTTACCCCTACCGTTTCATACCAAGGTCGTCCGCAGAAATTTTCTTCAAATGCGCAGCTCAGAAAATGTTTTTATAAGCATTTTACATGATTATATTTTTTGCGATTTTAAATAATATTTTTGCCTTTGCGCATTATAATTTTTCACTAACAGTTTCAATAATTTATTTAATATTATTAAGCCAAACGTCTTTGTCTTAATAATCTTACTTTGTATAAACTATTTAAAATTAAACACGTTGAGCACAAAAGTTCCAGCGATTCATTAAAAAAAAATAATTATTAAATAGTTTTTAAAGTGAAATACACAGAACAAACA